AGGAATGCTGTGTGCCTAGTGCCTGGCACATAGTAGGTGCTCAGTGAACTTTCACTGAACTGAACTTGCTTACAGTAATTTCCCTGGAGGCGAAAGTGCCAAAGTGTCATGAGGAGACTGAGGGAAAAAGAAAGAAGTTAAGATGATGAGGGTGGGAGGAAGGAAGGGTGAGGAGGGCTGGCAGGGAGGGCACCTGGCACCCCTAGGGCCATGGAACCCTCAGTGGGTGGGTCTCCTGGGATACAGGAGGCAGAGTGCAGAGCCTGGAGCACCAGCCACATGGACACTCAACCTCATCTCCTTGTGTTCCTGCAGCTGCCACCAGGCCCGAGAGATGGGTGCTCTGCTGGGCGCCCCCTCCCCTGGCAGGGGCCAAGGACGCTGCTGCTGCACAAAAGTCCCCAGGATGGCTTCGGCTTCACCCTGCGCCACTTCATCGTGTACCCGCCCGAGTCGGCCGTGCACTGTAGCCTGAAGGTACACTGCCTCGCCACTGCCCTGGCTGGCCATCGCCTGTCCTGGGACAGCCCTGCTGGGAGTGGGGTGACTTCTTTGCACCAATGCCCTCTATGTCCCTTGGCCCTCTCAGAGAAGCAGGCCTTCTTGGGGTCTGCTGTGGCTGGGGAGGAGGGTGCAGGCGGGCAGTACCAGCCTTGACAGGGCCACCTGCACTGTGTGACCCTGGGCAAACAGCCTGGAACTGGGTTCTCTCAGAAAGGGGGCCAGATCAGGGCAAGAGGCCCAGAGGTGGGGAGTCAGGATGCTCACCGCCCCCTCCTCCCCACCCAGATGCCTGGCTCATCTCTGGACAGTGAACAGCCTTGTCCATCGTTCTTTCTGAGCCCGATCTGCTGCCCCCTCCCCACCTGAGCGCCTGGGGAGCCTGCCCTAGCTCCCTTCCTAGTGTCCCAGGCCTCTGTTCACTACAGTTCTGTGTGCAAGAGAGCCCTGGGATAGTGGAGCCCTGAAGACTGGCGTTGGCACAGCTCCTACCTCCCTATGGGTTTGGGGCCCTCTCGCCCCTCTCTGGGCTCCATTTCCTGGAGGGCATTTACTGACTTGATCCCTAAGGGCCATTCCTTCCCTAATGTAAAGGCCGAGTTCCCTGGGTCTTGTCTGTGGCCTCTGATTGGGGCAGCCGGATCCCACATGGCCAACAGCTCTGTTGGAGACTCAGACCTAACAGGTTGAGAAACTTCAGTGCGTGTGCAAACATGCAGGGGTGTGTGCGTGCCCCAAATCTACAGGATGGAGAGATGGAGAGAGATTTCAGTACGACAGCGCCCCACGGGGGGATGCTTTCTCCCTCTCCTTCTCTCTCTCTAGCAAGCACACGTTTATTTTGGAGTCATTGAACCCGTCTCTCCCTGCCCCCCAGGGCTGGAATCAGCCTGCAGCTGTTGGGGGGACTCCCTTGAGGACCTGGGTCCCACCTGCCAGAGAAGAAAGGCATTAGATCTCATCACTGTGTCTGTGTGCTTACATGTCAGTAAATGCACGTCATGTGTACATGTAACAGCGCAGTTCTCACGTGCATGCTGGGATCTGGGGCACGTGCATGACTGTTCTCATTGGCCACAGCCATGCATAAGAATCCGCGTGGGGCTAATGGTGTCAGGGAGGGGGCACTCTCCTCTCTTGATGTTCAAGGACCCCAGCCCCTTTGTTTCCTGGACCCTTCGGTCTCCTTTCCTGCTTCCTCAGAATGCCCCTCCTTCCTGGCCCCTGCCACCTTCTCTCAGGGACCCTGCTGCAGAGTGTCAGAGGCAGAAGTAATGCAAGGTGGTCCAGGCTGGACGGGGCAGGACAAGCCAGGGACAAGCTCTGTCCCCTTTCTAGAACCTGCAAGGAGGCCTTGGCCTGGAGGCATGAGGAGGCCGAGTCCTCCCCTCCTTCCTGCTGCCCGCTGCTGCCCAGGCCTGCAGGGAGCCCAGCCGTCCACACACATCCGTCTGCCTCTGCCACCCGCTCACCGCCTGTCAGCTCACATCAGCAGATGCACTCCCCTCATGGTGCGGGAGGGTGGGGGCAGAGGACTCACTCTCCGGCCATGCCCTGCGGCCCACCTTGTCCTGGCCAGGGTGCCTGCCAAAGAGTCCTGGGTTTCAGTCCTGGCTCTGTCACCGAGTCTGAGAGTAGCCCTGTCAAGTCAAGGACAAGTTCCGCCCTGTCTTCTGTAAAATGGGCATATCTGTGGCGAGGGTTAAACGAGGTGACGCTGAAGGTCTGACCCTGCTCTAAAATGCTGCGTCCTGCTGTCTCGGCCTGCCTCTCCGACCTCCTTTCCCTCATTCCTACTTCCTCCCCAAATCCATTGCCTCTCCCACACTTACCAGCAGGATTCCAGAGGCCTCCCGGTGGGTCTCCTCACCCCTTTCCCCTAGCTGCCACAATCCACTCCTCTAACTGGTATTTTCACATTCCCTCTCCCCCACAAACAAGCCTTCTTTGGCTCCCTCTTTCCCGCCTTTCTAACCTAAATGCGCTGGTCTGACTCCTCACCTGCTGGTGTCCACTTTCCCCAATAGCTCAGTGGATCCAGCCCTACCTGTGCTTGCCAGTTCCTGCCACCAGGCCTCTGCATACTCCACACCCCTCCCCAGAAGGCCTTCTCCCTGCCACCCCCAGGAAAAATCCCCTCCCCCAGAGGGACACTAATCAGGCCTTCCCTCCGCATTCTCAGGGCCGATAGCCTCTGCACTCCTCACGTCATGCCTGCTTATCGCTGTCTGCACGGGTCTCCTGTGTGAGTGTGTGGCGCCTCCTCCATGGGGCTGAGAGCTGCCCACATGAAAAGTTGTGGGTGCCCCATTGGATCGGGGTCCCCAGACGGCTGGGATGCTGGGGCAGTGGGATTAGCAGGTGTGAGAGAAACACACATGGTACTGGGGAACTTCTGCTGGGACTTCAGGTCCCGGTCACACCCTACCAGCGCTCCCATGGCTGGGCCTGTTGGAAGAGATAAGGTGGCAGGGGCTGAAGGGGCCCCGCCTAGGTGGAGCGGAGGGAGTCCTAACCCCCTTCCCTCCCCAGTGCTGCTGTGGGCTAGACACAGGGCTCACACAGCCCCTCTGTTCTCTGCAGGAGGAAGACAATGGAGGCCGGGGAGGAGGTAAGGAGTCGGGAGTGGGGTTGCGAGCTAGGCTGAGCTGGGAGACATCTTCCAGCTCGATTCTCCCCTTTGCCCCAAGTCAGCCTGTGTTTTCCGGTGCCCCCCCCTCCTGTGTTTGCACTTCTCAGTCTTCCTGCTGTGGTCCACTTGCATCTTCTTTGCACGCTCTGTCCCCTCTCTCCCTCTGGGTCTGCCCACTCCACACGTTTGCTGAGCACAGCCCACTGGTGTCGGTGGTGCTCTGGGCAGCAGCTGGGTAGCTAAGACCTGGCTTGGCCCTGGTGTTGCCCCAACCTAGACCAAGGCAGAGACTGTAGAGCCTGGAAGTCAGTGACAGGGTGCACTGAGCCAGGGCTGTCCTTGGGGATAGAGACAAGGGTCCTGATGGGAGTTAGGGGGACCCTGAGGTCTTTCTGTCTAAAGATTTGAACCTGGTCACAGTGGCACAGGGTTGGTGTTGCTGCTCAGTAGGCTAAGGACATGGGGACCGGGTTCAATTCCTGCCCCACCCTAAAGAGCCTGGCGAGGGCCGCCCCAGAGTGCCACAGGTAAGCACCACTCAGAGGGAGTCTGATCCCACACGGCCTATTGCTGTTTGAGTCTTGGCCTTAGCAGCTTGAAACACTGCACATGCGTGTGTGCCCAGGATCCTGACAGGATGAAGAAATGGAGGGGGAAAATCACTGTAGCATGACCAGGCCCTGGCTGAGTAGTGCTTTCTCTCTCCATCTCTCTGGTGTGCACACAGGCATCCTTGGGCAAGGAAAAAAAAAAAGGAAAGAGAGAAAAATAAACAAAACAAAACACGGGCAAGGTGGTGCATGTCTGTAGTCCCAGCTGCTCAGGAGGCTGAGGCAGTGGGACCCTGTCCAAGAACAAAAGACCCCATCTTCCCCTGCACAGGAGCAAGGATGCGAACCTAATTCTTGTTGCCGGCTCCCTTACAAACCCAAAGAGCCCCTTGCAGACACTCAGGCTCCCTGTGGGTTCAAGGCAGACCTGCTTGAACAGGTACCCTTCCTGCTCTGCCACTGGGCTTCTCCTGGGCAGCCATGCGGGGACACTGTCTTCCCGAGTCCTAGGCCCAGAGACCGTGGGGGAGCAGCCAGCTCACCCAGAACAAGCTTCCTTCTCCAGGGAACTCAGTAGCAGCAGAGCAGTGTTGCTGGGTGTAATGTGATTTGTGTCCACCTGGGGGCTCTTGAGCCTCTGCTGGGAGCCCTCAGACTCAGGAAGTGAGCGAGGTGGACGACGAGAGTTCTGGATATCTCCTGGGTCATCTGGATGTCTCTCTGTGTGGGGAATGTCCTTCTATTTCTTGAATCTGTAGGACTCAATGGAGGCCTCTTGTTTTTTTAAAGAATCTTTTTTTTTGTGGGGGAGAGATTTTTGTTATAGGGCGCGTGCACTCATCAGAAAGAGAGAGACAGAAAGCGAGAAATCACCCCCCAGGGAGGATGACCACGCCGCAATCCCTTCTTCTCCATTCTCCTCTTGGGATCTTGGGCACGCACACACATGTGCCCAGCATGAGTTTAAGCCACTGGGTCCTGAACTCGAACTGCGGTTGACTACATGGGAGTCCAGCGACATAGCCATCATGCCAATTGCTGGTCCCAAGAATTATTTTATTTAACTTTATTTATTTATTTATTAAAATTTGACCAGAGAGGGACAGAGCGAGCGAGAGAGAAAGAGACGGAAGGAAAGTGAGAAAGCAAGCCACCAGGTCTGGGACTCGAACCTTGGTTGGCCACGTGGGAGTCCAGCATTCTTAACCACTACGCCGCCTACTGGCAACAGGGGTCTCTTTTTAAGGAGCTCTTTCCTTTGTCTTGAGATGTTTGTAATCTGTCTCCCACACTGGACAGCGAACCCCAAAAAGGCAAGGACTGAGTCTCTTCATCCCTTTTTTTTTTTTTTAGAGGTTTTTGCCTTAGGGCATGTGAGCTTGCTGAACAGAGAGAGACACAGAGACAGTGAGAGGGAAAGTGAAAAATCACTCCTCTGAGGGGGATGGCCACACCACAATCCCTTTTCCATTCTCCTCCTGGGACCTCGGGCACGCATACACTCACGCCCAATGTGATTTTCAAGCCATTGGGTCCGGGACTTGAACCACAGTCAGCCATGTGGGAGTCCAGTGCCTTAACCACTATGCCATCGGCTGGCCCCTCTTCATCCTTTTGTCTGGTTTCTAGCCCGTGATGAGGACACATCTTTGTGCGTACAGCAGGTTTTCATTCTCCCTGGTGTGTGCTCGCTCATCTGGTTCTGTGCATCCGTGGTCTGTGTCTGTGAGTGTGACTGTCCCGAGCGTGTGTCCCCTGTGTGTAGCTGTACATGGGTGCGACCTTCTGCAGCCACCCCCAGCTAACTGGCTGATACCCACCAGGACCCTCCCCCCGGCACCGCTTGGAGCCTATGGATACCATCTTTGTCAAGAATGTGAAGGACGATGGCCCTGCCCACAGGGCGGGGCTGCGCACAGGTGAGCTGCCCAGTTACCCGGCTCACTCTACCCCAGCCTTCCGGTGAGCAGGGAATTCTTGGATCCAGGTGTTAGGGAGGCTCCTGTCACCCACTGTTGTTAGTGCCTGGTCCAGGAGTCCTCGGGTGGAGCTGTTGACACCCTTTGGCCTACTCACACGTGGCCCCGCCCCTTGTCCCCCCAGGTGATCGGCTAGTGAAGGTGAATGGGGAGAGTGTCATCGGGAAGACCTACTCCCAGGTCATAGCTCTGATCCAGAACAGGTGAGCACCCCTGCCTCCCTCCCATTGCCTCCCTGCACTCCCCACGCCTTGGCTCTGGGGCTTCCTAGAGACCAGGACCCCTGTGGCCCTAGCCTGGCTTGACCCTCTGCCCTCCCTCTGCAGCGATGACACTCTGGAGCTCGCCATCATGCCCAAGGATGAGGACATCCTCCAGCTGGTGAGTCCTGCCCCTGCTGTCAGCGTAGAGGGCCCGAGGCCCTTCTCTTTGGGCCTTCACTCCCACATGGGTCCCTCTGAGAGGCAAGGAGGTGGAGGAACAGCCCAGGTGGCCCAGTTGCCGATCTAGCTCCTCCCTGAGCTGAGGCTGGCTCTTGCTTCATTCAGGGCTGTTCTGTGCTGGGGAGAGGGGAGGTGCTGGCCATGGCACGCAGGATTCCTGCCAGGGTATCCAGAATGAGGGTGGCCCAGCGGGCCCTGCCAGACTGGCACGTTCTTTTTGGCTCCCATGAGATGCCTGATCCTTGCACCTCCTCCCTGCTGGTCTCAAGCAAGCTTGTCTTGGAGAGGTGTGTCCACACACACACACACACACACACACACACACACGCACACATACCAGGTGCTCCCCTGGCACACCCCACTGTCATGCACCACTCAGTACACAAACAGAACATACCAGAAACACAGCCAGACAACACAGCCCCTCAGCAGCACCCTCTGTAAAGCACGCAGTCCACGATACACACACAACACTCGGGGCAGCTGCCATAAGACAGACCACCCCCTAGTGCCACACATAGGCACCCACATCCGTAGTTCACCCTCAGACCCACTCCACAGCTCCAGAGCATACATGACGGTGTCATGGCACCCCACCAGCTTCGCTTGCCTGTGGCACACGCACCACAGTGCCTCACGGCACGTCTACTCGGCCTTCACCACCATGGACGTGCCGGCACAGCTGGTACCTGCAACCATCACCCCCACCCACCCCCCCGTGGCTCCAGCCACCTCGGGACCCGGGATGTGCAGGCCCAGTACACAGTCCGAATCCTCCCCATGGACGCCACGGCACATCTAGACCACAATATCCAGCCCACCACACATGCGGCGTGGCCCGCAGACGTGGCGCCCAGCATGCCCTGAACTCACAAGTACACCCGTTCACACATGTTCTCTCTGTGTGCCTGGAGTTCAGGGCAGTCCTCAGACCAGTCCCTGGTCCCGTGGGTTGTGGGTCCAGCTTGCTGGGCCCTGAGGTCACTTCCCCCAGGGAGGACGGATGGCCAAGCCCACGGCCCTGGGAGCCACGGCGCTGGCTTCTGCCCTGGACGCCTCTCATAATCACTGTAATCGTGCTTGGCACGATGCCCCATGCGAACCTCCACCCCTGACCTCAATTGTCCCCTTGCTTATTCTGGGGAGAGGGAAAGAATGGGGACCCAGAAAGGTGGGCTGCTCCCCCCTCGCCTCAAAGGTCCCGCCAGCACACCCCCACCCCCCACCCCTGAGCTGAGGGAGACCAGTTATGGTGAGGGGGCGACAGGGCAGGATGTAGGGCGTCGCCCAGTCTTGCCAGCTGGCTGGGGCAAGGGGTGAGCAGGGCAGCAGCCTGGAGCTTGCCACCCATGCTCGGGTGGGCTGGCGGCCCCAGATGTCGGCATCTGGGGGCCTCCACTGGCTCCTGCATCTCCGCCGGCCAGAGGGTGGGGCCCAGGCATT